TTTCAAAATAGCTGTGCCAGATATCACCTCACCTACAGGATTCCAAGAAATTCCATCATGGCAGAAGCCAAGAAAACTTGAGAATAAACAGATCTTCAAAGGACTGATCACTGACACATACTATATGCAGCCCAATGGATTTCCGTGAAATCCATTTTTGAAACAACAAAAAGTCAGCTGCTTTGCTTTTCTACTTGAGAAATGATCCAGAAATTCAAAGAAAACATACCATTATATAGGAATGTCAATTGCTCTCATAATTTAAAGCCCATTCTTCTACCAAAAATCCCAAATCAAACAAAAAAAACTCATGTCCTGAGTGTTATCACACAATGTTCCCATTATCACAGAATCCAGAAAACGGCCTATTACCAGCTTTGTGTTTTAGCTGAGCAGTGACTTGCATGTACAGAATTTGGCAAAGGTCAAAGAACTGCCCAGTAAGGAGGTGTTGAATGTTGACTGCTGGGTGCCAGTTGAAGGCTGTATAGAAAACCTGGAAATATTGATTTTAATGATTTTCTTGATGATGCTGGTTATAAGCTATATGCCACATTTGATAATCCAGCAAACCCCTTTTGTTACATTTTGCTAAGATTTATTCAAATTCTCTCAGCTTAATATGAGACATATTTCAATTAAGTTCCCATAGCCTGCTGATGATGCAACAGAAAACACCTATCCGTTCATATGCAAATTGAATCTCTTTCTGCTTGTGAATTACATGTAATTATTATATCTTTAAGGCAAGGCTTAAAAAAGAAAGGCAAAGTTATTTATCATTCTTCCTCTTTATCACCAGAAGCTAGGAGAGAAAGTATATGTGAAGATCTAAAGTGAAGAAATAAAATTTATGAACATAGAGTAAAAATATAATAACAAGGTATGGTTGTCTAATGAATATAGCTGACTGTCAGCATAGATGCAGTTAGGGTCAAACACATTTGAAATTAAGTCAAATCCAAATGTATTTAATCACATTTGAGAGATGAGATACAGGAACCAAAAGACCAGGTCTACATCCTCTTCACCTGAATTACTTAGGACTTCTTTGTTTCATTAAATAACTAGCAAGATTTTGAGCTTTGCTTCTAAAAGAAGGCCTATGACTAGAAACCTGTTTTTATTTAGGGCTTTTAGAAGATAGAGTTAATGGTACCTAATTACTTTATCAGTTTTCTCAACAAAAGTCATAACTTCAGTGCCATCAAAGATAAAGTTTCAGAGAATTGAGTTTCTCTATAAATAGACATACGAAGCATATGAAGGAATGATGGAACAATTATTGCTTTTCCATCCTACTCTTTGAAGATAATTTCTTTTCAGCTTAAATCATTGAGCATTGTGCCCTAATGTGTTGTCTTCCTACAAACAACCATTTCCAAATGAGCTGGAGAACGGGAACAGTTGCAGGAGTGATCCTTCTACTTTATAATCCTTTCCTGACTATGTTAATGAACAATGATGCAATAACTGCTTTTACAGACATTTTTAAGTGTTCCAAATAGTACAGCCATAAAGCAGGATTAAGGAATCGTAAGTCATAAAAATCTACATCTCTTCTTTCCCTTTTCTCTCAGACTTCCTTTGCGGACACAGAAGATTTCAAAACCACCACTGTCATTTAGATCTAATGTTTTACAAAATACACTAGAGTCAAAATCTCACCACACAGAATCCAAAATGAGTTTCTTCAGATTTATAATCTAGGCACAATTTCACTCTGGGGTATTACTTCTTAAATAAGAGACCGAAGCACTTTTCCTCCACTGAATTTGGTAATTGATGTCTGAAAGAGAAGTAAAAGAGGGAGGAACAGGCAGCTGTCTGCAGCGTAACCCTGACTGTCTCCAGTCTCCTACAAGGTGACAAGACTCAGAAAGGTTCTGGGGATGGGATAAAAAAAGGTAATTTGGTTCTCCTACAACACATGGAAGTCAGAAATCATGTGGCACTTTTCAAAAGAAACAACAAAAGGTGCTGTAAAGGGAAATAGTCAGGTAATTCTACTACCTGAATGCACATTTTGGTCACTAGTTAAACTATCAGTTTATGAGGAATTAAGCATTAGTCGGTGCACCATGCAGTGGAGGACAAGGCATACTGGTAAGGCCAACTTCTCCTTCATAGCTAGTCTTAAAATTTTCATTGAATATTTTTTCTTGTTTTTTTTAAATTTTTTTTTGTCAAAAAACAAAAAGCAAAAGTAGAACTGGGGTAATGACGTGAAAGAATGTAATAAAGGTTTTCCATCTCTATTTTTTCCTCACTGTTCTTAAGTAATAAAAAAATCCCAACACAGTAGTACTATCTGGTCAGGTCACAAGTCCATCTACTCTAGAACCCCATGAGACAGTGTGAGCACTGGCCCTTTGCCCACTTTAACACATGGTCTGTTGCACTGAGCAAGAATTGCATGGTCAGATGTGTATTACACTATGTGTTTAAGTCTTCACGCTCTGCTTATAATCCTTTTTATTGTTTTCCATTCCTAGCTACATTCCATAAAGAACTGCTGAGCTCTGTTCAGCCACAGCTCTTGATGAAAGAGGATTGGCAATGAGATAAGCCAAGATGAGAGTCTCCACAAAATCTTTCTTGAAACAATATTCTGGGACTCTTCTTGTCCTTGGGCAGGATTTCTGTGTGCAAATGGGAGATAATGCAGACTGAGGAGATCTCTTAGAAGTTTTACTAATTTTCATTAGGCTGGTTCATACGAGTTCTCTGGGCCCCTCAGTGGAGGATTTTAACCATATTGTGCCTCCTGTGCTGCAGTGATCGCAATGCTAATCTCTGTAATTCCACATTTGGGAGCTCACATTTCAAAGTGTAAACAACTGACACTGACTTTATAAAGAACATTTTTTTTCCAGAGGGAATGTGACGATAGAGTCATAGAGAAGCATCATAAGACAAAAACTGAAAAAAAAAAAAAAAAAAAAAGGTAATTGCACTAGGAGAAATAAAGAATTCTTAGTTTCCTTCCCTTGTTCTGTAGAATGTGCACGAATAAAATATATGTGCATAGTATTTCGTGAGTGAGAAAACGTTTCCCCTTTCTACTTAGAGGTATCAGACATCATCGCTAAACAAAAACTTAGAGAAGAAACTGAATTTCTGCATCTGCAGGAATGGAAAACAGGTTTCATAAAAGAAGGAAACAAGATAAGCACAAGCGAAAATATGGACTCAGGGAAGAAAAGTCTAGTAAAATATTTGTGTTTGTCTATGTCTTAAAATCTGATGCACTGCCAAGTTCCCTAACAGCTTCTGAAACCACAGGTTTTTCTTCGGCTCTCCATTCTGAGCATTATTTTGCTTAGCATCTCTGAAAAACTCTCACTATTCAGAGCTAGTATTTCCTCCAATTGAATTGTACAAGGATAGCAGCAAAGACCATCTGCAGAACCAAACTCAACCATCCAGATAAAGCCATTCTGGGAAAAAAACCCTATAACTTTAAAGAAAATAGCTTGAGCAATTCCTAATGGTTTTTGAGCTTGATAAATGGCAAGAGCTCTGAGATAATAGTACAGTCATGTTGTAATACCGTTTAATGGCATTTGCTGTTAGCATTATTCATACAGGGATGGTACTGACTTGTAATTCCTTGAGAAGACAATCTTTTATAAAACCTGTATTACTCAAATCCTTGTGCCTTTTATCATTACACAGATTGCAGATGACTTCATAGGGTCTATTAATGCCTTGAGTGACAGAATGCTACAGCACCTGACTGAATTTAGAGAAGGAAAAGAGAAAAGCAGACCTATAATTACGGTCCCTGCAAAGAGAAAATGCAGGCGTTGTGCCAATTCTTGCATTAACTATCTCAAATCTATTCAGATACTGCTTCAACCTCAATTAATTTACATCATAGTATTAATGATGGCACAGCTTCTGCACTCTTGATCTCAGGGTGCAATACCATTAATGCTACAATGCTTTAAAATAAAAACTTCTATGTGTCTTGAAGAAAGATGAAATGCATATTTTAGAAAATTTACCAAGCAGCTGAAGCTGGGATAATGCACTTATGTTTGCAATGCTCCCACATTTCTTCTAATATATTACACAGAGGGTCACAGAATGACTTTAATCTATGAGGCCAGAATATTCAAGACGATGAATTTTTTCCCCATGCCATAAAGTAACAGCATTACAATGTATGCAGTAACCTCTCACCTTTTTTTATTACCCTACCTACTCTTTTTGGTTTCATTTAAGAACAACTATAGTTTTTTTGCATATTGTTCATCTCTTCCTTCAGTTTGAAACATGACATACTTCAGCATTTAATAATCTACCCTTTTTATTACAGAATAGTTAGAGGACCTCAGACCTCTAAAAAAGGAGGGAAAAAAGTCTGTATTCAGTGACTGCATCATGATACAGTCTTTGGAAATTGATATGTGTGTCACAGGAAATTTATAAAATGCAAGGTTTCAGCATTATGGTACCGGAGGTATATACATCACAGAAAGCTAAGGGCTGATGAGTTTTCTGATTGAGAGTCTTTTTGCTGAAATATAACTCATCAATTAAATCTTTTACAAACACCAGGAAAACATTAGATGTTTTGCGTAAAAATTCAGGGTTTAGCTATCCAAAACTTCACAAATGCTCTGGCAGCTGTTATGACCCTGAGCCATAACAACTTAAGAGAGGAGATACAATCTAATCCTCATGGTAGTTCCTTTGAATTGAACACGCACTAGTTCCCTAGGACCTGCCTTCCAACAAGTTATGCAAGACTGAGTTTGATTCTTTTTCACTTCCACCATTTACAGAATTTCTCAGGGTTCTCTAATCTCAGCATCCGAGAGGCTTCCTGATCACTCTCAAAAGCACATGGAGGATGGAGGAGAGAGGAATGTGGAAAACGC